TCCGCCGCCGCAGGGGTTCCGGGAGACGTGCGTCCCACACTGTATAAGACAGCGGCCTCGGAATTGCACTTCGCCTTGGCTGGGGCGGCTGCGGGACCCGACGGGACGATGGCTTCTCCAGCGTCCTCATTGGCCGAGCGCCTTGTGACGTCACTCGCAGGCGCCGCCAGGGAGCAAGGAGTGTAGCTCCCGGAGGCTTCTGGGTAGCGGATTACCCCCGCCCCCCGAAGGTCCCTGGGGGCCAGGCTGGTGCGGCGGATGCCATCCTGATACTTGTGGCGGCCGAGCTCCAAGATAGCCCGCACCTCCTCCGCCACATCCCGCCGGTCACTCTGCTCCAGGGCCTGCACCAGGCGCCCCACTGCCCCTGGCTGCAGCCTGGCGCGCTCAGCCCAGGAGAAGAGCATGTGACGGATCTGGGCGTCCAGGTCGTCCCTGGGGAGAGGGGGCTCAGTGACTGAGGGGCCCCCCCAGGACTACCTACCACACCCACCCTGGGCCGGCTTCCTGCCCCCTGGGCCAGTGTGGCCAGACCATCCCTGTCTGTACCTGTTTGCCCTGCCTCCCAAACCGCCCCCTCCCCGAAGGCACTTCAGCAGCGCCAGCTCACACCCCAGGGCCTCTGCCCGGGACCTGCTTCTCTGGGCCCAGCACACAAAGAAGAGTCTGCCCTCTGGACTTCAACCGGACCCCTCCCTCCCCACCCCCCCCCTCCAGGGACACAGGTCACAGCCAGCTCTCCTTCCTGCCCCCGGAACCAGGGGGCAGGGGCCACACCCCAGCGCCCAGGCCTAGCACTGCCCTCTGAGGACTGGGGGAACCCTGTCTTCTGAGCATCACCTGGCCCCACCTCCTACCTGGGGTTAGGGCGCCTAGATGATGGGGATCCCGGAATCCAGACGGACTATGTAAGGCGGGGAGAGGCAGGCCCAGAAGCCGGGGACCCCAAGCCCAAGAAGACAGCTCGGGTCCCCCACCACCATCACCACCACAAGCTGCAAGCGGCAGCGGGCAGAGAACAGTGCGTGGCGGGCTCTGTCTGGGGAGAACTGGAGAGGGATCCTGACTCCCAACCCCCCTTTTCGGTCCTCACTCCGTGGAGGGCCCTACCCTAGACCCCATGTTGCCATAGGAACTGGGCAGCCCCAGCCAAGCTGATTCCAACTCGAGGCCCCGGACTGGCAGCCTGCACTGTCCGCCCCTCCGTGCCCACAGCCAGGCTCCGCTCCGGGCAGGCAAACAGGCCACGCCGCTGCCTCCAGGC